TATTCAGAGTAAAGTTCTCCACAAGCATTGCAGAGTAAATGGACATTACTTAAGAGCTGGAAGCAAAAACACCATTCTTGTGCTGAAGATAGCATTTTTTATGAGCAGAGAGGAACAAAAACAGAAATGCCTGAAAATATTGAGAGAAAAAAATGTATCTCTATAAATACTGTGATTAATCTCATTTATATTAGTTACCTGTGCTGCATAAACTGTTACTTAAACTGCTGTTTTTTAAAAAAAAGGACAAATGCATGTCTGTTCATTTTGATTACAGTTAACATTTTACAGGGTTCTTTGTTGTAAATAATCCCACATCAAACACTTTTGAAGCAGATTTAAATATTATATTACACAATATAATATCAAATATTCATATTTACCAACACAACAAGTACTTTTTTTAATAAGGCCCTACTAGACTATTTTCTAGTCTATTAAGAACTGGAGTGAGGCAATATGGAGAGTGTTTTAATATATACTTAAAAAATAACTGTATCCCCATGGGATTTTAATTTTCAATATTTTTTCAGACTATTGTAATGTACAAAATTTAATAAATATGGAATGACAGAACTGAAAGCTTATATTTTTAACTATATGAAGTCTTCAAAAGTTTTAGTTTTACAAATTGACTTCTTGAAGTATATGCTATGCATATGTGTAATGTGAGCATGGAACCAGCTGTTTGTCCTGTCCTACTGTGGTAATGCAACTGAAAATGTGAATGGAATACTAAGTGTATAAAACACTGAATTACAGTTTGTTATATAATACACCAAATAATAAAGTTGTATCAACACAAATTTTCTCTATCTGCTATTTAAAATGTTATAGCATAGTTTATACATGTAATCTCACTGTTACACAGTATTTAAAGGATCATGGTATTTTTTACCAGAGACTGGACATAATGGTCTACTGTTATTGTTTATCAACAAATATTGCAAGAAGATGTCAGTATACTACTAATTTGATACTATGTAAGAAACTTCACAGTCACTATTTTTGTTTAAAATTGAAAAATAGATCGATGTCATTACTTCAGAAAACACATAACATACTTGAGCATATACAATACTTTAAAACAAAAAGAAGCTGTATTTTGAGTATTAATGAGTCACAAATCCCACTCATTGTGAATTCTTCCAATCACTCACTATTCCCATCATAACTGGTCTTTACTTGCCTTCTGGTTCTTCTGATGAATTTGAAATAACATACAGTATGTCTTGATAGATTAAATGACTAATTTGTTCCAATAATCTAAGGGTGTGGTGGCTTTTTTGTTTTATGAGACCAATATGAACTAACAAGAACAACAGTGGCCTGTCTTTTAATACACATACTGCATATGAATTGGGGTAAGGCAAGGTATTGCATATAAGTTATACCATGTTTCAGTGGCTGTGCTTTGGATTTTGTAAGTCAATTCTGAATAATGGTATCTGCAAGCAAACGATAGCTTTCTTAGTACATTTTGTACATGGTCAGGATAACCTGTCTGAAAGAGCTGTTCTTTTATATTTAAGCATTCAAGTTGTTTTCCTTATTTTTCTTTTACCTGTGAAACAATTATTTTCATAGGGAGAGGGAAGAGATGATTCACACAAGATACAGTATTTATTGAAATATTGTTTTTTACAAGAGCAAGGGTAACCACTGACCTTGGTGAGGGGGAGTGGCTCAAGAATCCCCCTTTCTGGAAATATGTCAACAATATCTACACCCCTTCAAGTGTTCATGGATGCTGCACATTGGTGGTGGTGGAGGGGGGTCCCCATTACTCTGTAAAGAGCTTTTGAGTCGAGTGTCCAGAAAAATGCTATAAACTGTAAGTGTAAGATATTATTATTATTATTATAGCTAAACCAAAATACCAGGACTGCCACAAGAAAAAAGGGAAGTTATTGGGATACTGAGGGCAGGGATGTCAATGCCCTAGACTCACAAAACACTCTGGTGCGCACCTGTTCACAATATTACATTTGGAATAGTGATACATTCAGACTGGTTCAACCCTTAACTAATGGCAGCCATGCATTACAACCCTTGTGCAAAATCAGTTTATAAAATTATCTACAGGATAAGCATTGTCCTGTGTCCCAGACTGATGCAGAAACTACTTGTTGGATTACACTAAAATAACCAGCATTGGAAAACATGTAATCCTTTAGAAACAGCAGCTGGTTAACCTACTAGAATGTCTTTGAACTGTGGGATGAAAACAGAGCATCCAGAGGAAACCCATACCAACAGGAGTAAAACATACAAGTTCCACACAGATAGCACCTCAGGAATTGAACTGAAGTTCCCAGTGCTGTAAGGCAGCAATGCTAACCACTGCACCATCATATGGCCCTCTTTTTAAAAGCATCCCATTTTAAAAAGATAAAACAATGGGCAGCCTTGTCAAGCCTGAACTTGTTTACTGGTCTCTGAGTACTAGTTCCAATACAGTATGTCATCCCAGATCACCAGATCAATAAATTTTCAATGGCACTCAGATCTGAGAAGTAGTATTTATATAGAATAACTGTCACATTCTCTTCTTGCCATCTCAAAGAATGCCTTGTTCTATCTACTGTGTAATGACATGTATTGTTCTGCATCAGGATGAGCCTGCAAGAAGCACATCAAGCGTGGTCAGAAGTTAGGAATTGTTTAAGCAAAAACATATTTTAGTCAGGATCTGGCCAGACCATCAAACTTGGACATCCCCATCCAAACAGACAGTGTCTTTATTAAATGTATTATTTAATAAAGCTTACATACATAGAATGGATAGTTTGCTTTTGAGCATATCTCAGGTTTCCCTATTCATTCATGTTTGTGATTGAATGAGCATAAAGTATAATTCTGAAGTATGACATGGTAATAAAACTGAATGTTAATTATGCTAGTACTTATTCACATGCACCTTTGTTTTTCTTTCTTTTTTGCAGGTCAGCACCAATAATGTATTTTTTTTATTTTTGTTCATACATGTCTGAAGTACACATCATTTTGTGAGGACAGGAAGCAAACACAAATTATGTGGATCATGTCATTTGCAGACAGAAACAGTTGTAGGTCAATTGAGAGAACATGATTAATTTCACACTTGGGAGAATACACAGGTGGCATCTCTCTCATGCAGAAGACTAGGATTAATTACCACTCCATTATACTGTATGTGGTTATGATCTATGAAGCCGCTCATAGTTTGTGAGCCTTGTTTTTCTTATTTAATGCTGGGTAAGCTTGGAGTCTCCAGAGACTGGTAATCCTTGCAACTACAGAGAGAAGCACCATATTTGACCATACATTCAGGGACTTAAAATGCAAGAAGCGGGAGTACATGAGCAGAGATTTATTTAGCTGCTAACATTGCTTTTTGCCTCTTTCAGTAAGTCAATTTCAGATGTAAGAATGCAAGAAATAAGAATTGGTGCACATTTGGCACCCCCTGATGGAAATCGTTGAAAGTGTATTACTTTATAGTGCATACTTTAGAGTGTATTACTGAACGTTAAAGCACAATTTAAGCAATAATGTTAACCATTATTGGTGGTACTTCCACACTCTTCTTCTTGCTGTTACATTCATAGCTATGTCTTTTAAGAATTATT